TTCCAAAACCAGGGAGGTCAGAGCAAAACCCCTCTCCTGCCACCAGAATCCTCACTCCCCCACACATCAAACCATGACAACCCCATCCCTAGAAGTGTTCGAGGCCAGGTTGGATGAGGCTTTGAGTAACCTGAGGCCACAACAACCCCCTGCAGCGTTACAGGCTTAGGGAAGCGTGGCTGGAAAGCTGCACAGCAGAGAAGGACCTTGGGGTGCTGGTCGACAGCCGATTGAACATGAGCCAGCAGTGTGCCCAAGCAGCCAAGAAAGCCAACGGAATCCTGGCATGTATCAGAAACAGTGTGGCCAGCAGGAGCAGGGAAGTGATTTTCTGCCTATACTCAGCACTGGTGAGGCCACATCTTGAGTACCGTGTCCAGTTTTGGGCCCCTCACTTCAAGAAGGACGTTGAGGTGCTGGAGCGGGTTCAGAGAAGAGCAACGAAACTAGTGAAGAGTTTAGAGAACTTGTCCTATGAGGAGCAGCTGAGGGAGCTGGGACTGTTTAGTCTGGAGAAGAGGAGGCTTGGGGGGACCTTATCGCTCTCTACAATCACCTGAAAGGAAGTTGTAGGGAGATGGGGGTCAGTCTCTTCTCCCACGTTATGAATGACAGGACGAGAGGGAATGGCCTCAAGTTGCGCCAGGGGAAATTTAGGTTAGATATCAGGAAGAATTTCTTTACAGAGAGGGTTGTGAAGTATTGGAACAGGCTGCCCAGGGAGGTGGTGGAGTCCCCATCCCTGGAGGTGTTTAAAAACTGTGTGGATTTGGTGCTGAGCAACATGGTTTAGGGGCCCTCATAGTGCAGGGTGAATGTTTGGACTCCATGATCCTGAAGGTCTCTTTCAACTAGATGATTCTATGATCTAGAGGAAAGTGTCCCTGCCCATGGCAGTGGGGTTGGAACTTAGATGATCTTTAAGGTCTCTTCCAACCCAAACCATTCTATGATTATATTATATGATTTTATGATTGGGTTTTTTTTGGTTAAATATATTTAATTCTTCTTCAAATGCAGGAACATAGGAATCTGCCTTTCATGCGTGAATTGAGGTACCTGTTTGCACTTCTAGTTGGTTCAAAGAGAAAATATGTCGACCCATCAAGAGCTTTTTTGAAATCCTTAAAGATGCTTTTAAATCAAATGATTCCCAACAGGTATTTTCTGTGTATTTTCATTCAAGCTTATACATGTTTTCATATGGTATCTGGCAGTAGGAAATACTTAAACTGGACAATAAAAATTCAAAATGTCCATAGAGAAGAAACTTCTAATTATCACAGGCTTTGAGCTTTTTCTCTAATATTATGTGATTTCTATTTACTTTTGTTAAAAAAAAAAAAATCCAGACAGCATGACTATTTTATCCAATAGACTTCTATTCAGTAGACTTTTCTCCTATTTTAGAAACTAATAGTTCCACATTCTTGCTTTTAGGGGTTAGTTTTGCTTCTGTGGATTTTGAAAGAGCTTTATTCTTCTGATCTAACAGTACCTCCTGGGCTGGTACAGTCCTAGTCTACTGTTTGTCTGTGTAGATATTGGATTTTAGGGACCTCATATTCATATTGAGGATTTTTGCCTAAATCACAGTGTGTATATTTTGCTTTTCTGAGAAACACTTTGTTTCTTCCAATGCTATATTGTTCCCACATGAGATTATATGGCTAAGGTGTTTAATTGCAACAGCATGCTGAATTTAGTGCTCGATGAAAGTAATATCAGTCACTACTTGTTAGATACCAAATGGTTTGAACAATGGGATTCTTAAGGTGCCTTTGGACTAGCATGGTATGAAAGCTGAGCCCAAGTAATAAGGATCATAGGACAATGCAATGACTGAGGAACACCAGAGCCGTAGTGTGCTCTGAGCCACACATGAAAAAAACAGTCATGGCTTAGTCTTAGACATAGTGTGGTGGGTTGTTTTCTTGGAGCTCTTGTGGAGGGGAGGACTGCTGTACTGATCTTGTAAGGTGATGCTTCATTGTATTCCCATCATATGGGAACATATACTGATCATTTTATGTTTTTCAACAGCAAGATGTTAGTGAATTTACTCACAAATTATTAGATTGGCTAGAAGATGCCTTCCAAATTAAAGCTGAAGAAGAGAGGTAAGATTTATTTTATTTTTTTTTTTCCTTCCTGGCTCTGTATATTGAACATTTTGACGAGAAAAAGCAAAACAACCAAAAATCCACTTCTCACTGTATGGCTGAAAAAGATCCGACTCTGTAGCTTGGTTTAGTTCAAGTTTGTTTTTTCTATACGAGATGATACCTTTGATTTTCCATTAATTGTCTTTTTTCACCTTCTGATTTCATATTAGAAATCTTGCTGACTGAAGTCCGAAGTATATAAAGAGTAGAGATGTTTTGTACATAATCAATTAGGCATTTTTTATTCGATTGCAGTTTTGCTTTTCAACCCTGTATTTTAAATACTTCAAAACCTTGCTCCTGTTTCTCCTCTTCAGAAGTAAATATCATTTGTATAAGTGAATATCTGTAAACTGTATTTTGAATACATAGTTGCTTCTAGAGTGTTGCAGGAAATAGTTTTTAAAAGGGTTTTGAACAATTTAACCACTCATGAATTGAATCTGATTTACGTAACTTTTCCTGGAATGAAGCACTTCTGAAACTTAATTTTCAGAATATACTTATTATTGCGAAGTATGTGAATCATTGTTATTGTCATTAGAGGAAAGTACAAAACTAAATGAACAGTAGCTGAGTAAAATAGGTAGCATTTCCATAATGATTTCAGAATAATCTGCTCATAGTTTTACAAAAGTTCGGAGCTTCGTGATTAATTTTTTTACACTAACACGCCTTCTATTTTCAGGGATGGAGAGAAACCAAAGAACCCAATGGTGGAGTTGTTTTATGGACGATTTCTAGCAGTTGGTGTACTTGAAGGTATGCACCTGAATTTACTTGCGCTTCTGCGCTCCTGTCTGTTCAGTGCTTGTCGAAGTACACAGGTGAGTGATGCAGTTGTAGCGTTTTAGCTACTTCTGCAGAAGAATGCTTGGAGAATACGCGTTCAGTCTGTGACAAAAGGTTTGTCCTGAGAATATGAGGCTGAAGGTAAATGTAGTGAGCCACAGTGGCCCAGAAGGACTGTTTTGATAACTTTCACAAGCTGAGTGTATGTGCTTAAGTGAAGTAGAAGTTAGGATGAGATGCTGAGCAAAAATGCTTGCAAGAAATTATTATCAGGGCACTAGTCTCTTGCACTCCCTCTGCTTTGTTTAATGCCATTTAAAATTTCAATTGTTGCATTTCTTTCTGCACAATTTCTGTTAACTCACCCTCTTAAAAGTACAGTCAGTTGAAAACAAGTCAGTAGAAACCTGCTGAAGGGCAGTGTCAGAGAGTACTGAGGAGGAAGAGACTGTACAACAAGCTTCCCTTCATCTTATCTGCGTATAATTAGTAGATCTGCAGGACTGCAGTGTTCTCTATTTCCAGGAGGCCAGCAGTTGTGGAGGTATTTTTCATGTTGGTGATTCTGTCCCTCATCCCAAGAGTGAATAACTCCTGAGATGCATTTCAATGAAGCAGCTATAATCTTTCAAGCGGCTTCTAGGTTGTTCCTCAGTCTGGAACAGTGTATCTAAGGATTTGTTGTCAGATTTCAAAACCTTTCTGGATATTTCTTGCTACTAGCTAACATTCTTGCTCCTTTGCGTTCAGCTTCTTTCATGTCTTACATTCTCATCTTAACTGAGGAGATGAGTAAAAACCAAACCAATGTAAAGAAAACTGGCAGATGTAAGAAGACTTGTTACTGACTTTAGGATTAAATAAATTGAAATTGTAGATTGAAATCTCTTGTCACCCGTATTTCTTCTCATGTTTGAGCTTACATCTTTATACACTCTTACCAAATTAAGAACTTGTTTTCAGGACAGAAATCATGAATGTTCTCTTTTGTGGTTTATTTTTGCAAAATGTACTTATACAAAGGGCTGTTTCATACCAACAATTCCACTGACTTTGCTGATACAGTGTAGGGTTGTATTACTGAACTACTATTTGCAGGAGGAAGACTTGGATTTGTATTTGTAAAACTTCCTGCATATCTGTAAGGCCAAGTCGTTTTGAGTTTTGTTATTACCAGTAGATGAAAAACAATATAAAAAATGGGCTGAAGAGGAAAGTACAGTAATTTTCAATGTTACATTCAAGTGACTTTTTTAGAGTAACTTGTTTTCCTACATGTGATTGAGTAATTGAATAAGAAAATGTGGATATTGTTCAGTAGGCTAGGTCAGGTGACCTATTTTTTTTTAAATAAATAAATGCTTGTTCCTAAAACCTTAACTATTTAATTTCTTATGTGAAGGTAAAAAATTTGAAAACACAGAAATGTTTGGCCAGTATCCGCTCCAGGTTAATGGCTTTAAAGATCTGCATGAGTGCCTAGAAGCTGCAATGATTGAAGGGGAAATTGAATCTCTCCATTCAGAAAACTCTGCCAAGTCTGGTCAGGAGGTGAGTTAAGTGCTCCTGTGGGCTTCTCTTAGGCTGTTGCTATAGTGCTCTCTATTTTTCATTGGAGTTCATGGTTGTTTTCTGTCACCTGCTGCTGTGCAGGTTCTGATGTCTGGAGTAACTGGATTGTTGATTTGGGGGGTTTGTATCTTTTTGGAGTATCCAGAGTATCATCTTTTTGTATTTTTAATAAGATACAAAGTTCATGCTTATTAAAAGCTGGCACAGTTAAGTGCTTACAGTGATTTGGCACGGGCTGGTTCCCACCTGTTGCTGATACTTGATCTCCAGGGAGGTCATGGGTATAATGTCCTGTGGTAGTTGACCACTGCTCCGACTGACTTGCTGCCCTGTGCCATGCTGTAAACAGCAACTGTCAACTGTGCATTTGACCGTTGCTTCAGAGCGTTGTTGTTATTCCTCTCTACCTCTGTCTTGTAATTCCTCAGCACCCTAGCCACCTTCCCCTCTCTCCTTTTTCCTGACGTTTCCCAGTGTCCTCCTCTTTTCCCCCTATGGTGGGCATCCCTCCTGCTCTTTGGTCGCGGTGGTGGAGAGACAATACTTGCTCTGTGGGCAGCTGTTCCTCCCAGCAGAGCTCTTGCTAGAGCAGGAGGCTGCCAAATGTCAGAGCATGCTGGAAGCACAGGTGGAGGGATTCAGATGGAGCCCCACTAAGAAGTGTGTGGTGTTGAGATGAGATGACAAGTGAGGTTTCTTGTGCAGAAGTCAGACAGATTAGGGAAAAAAGATATTTGGACCAATGGTGGTTGTAGAACTGAGAGGGTGTACTCTGAAATGTCCCCTCTTATTGCTGGCATGTAAGTATATGCCCAGTATTTTTTCTCTGGCAGAGCCCTCTCTAATAACCTGTGGGTTATTGATGTGGAAGTACGGGAATCCCCATTGCCTGTAAAGGCTGAGCTACTTTCTCTTTACAGAGTTATTCATATTTCATCACAGCTGTTTTAAAGATATGAAGTCTTAGGAGGTTTCTGTTACTTAAGTAAAATGTTCAGACATAGTTTCCTCCTTGATGTCAATCTTTTGCAGTAATGAAATTTTGCTTCCTTTAGTCATATCAACATACACACAGGGTTTAATTACTAAGCCTAGTGACACACACTGAAGTAATTTTCCAGTCTGAAGTTCTATTTCCAATTTTGTATTATTAAAAAATGTCTTATAGCATCCCTTTTGCAGTCTCTTTTTCTGGTCAGCTATTGTTGCTCAAATACTGAGGAACCAAATCAGATGTTAACAATCATTTTCAAGTGTATTTACGCATCTTCCTGGATGTGGTGTTCTTTCACAGGACGTTTCTATTATTTTTTTTTTTTTTTATTTTAGCACTTGTAGAAATGTCTTCTTAAAAGGAGCATGTTTCCTGAAATAGAACTGGAAGAAAATAAATCTCATAAATATCTTGGTGCAGTCCAAAGTTCAGTTGCTTTATGCAAGGTGAAATTTTGTGTGTACTTACTACAAGAACACGATTGCTCATCTTATGGACTGAAGATTGTTTTGCAGTTAAAAAAAAAACCTGTGTGCGTTCATGCATAAAATGTCAGTTCAGTTATAAATGCTTGACGAGAAATGTCAGACTTGGAGGTTTTTTGTTTTACTTTTGAGGGTTTTTTTTTAACCTCTAATGTCAGGAAACTGTGGGGAACAGGATAGTCATGTACAGGTGTAGAGTTCTGTGAAGCTGTCGGGGTTTTAATCAGCTTGACTTGTTAGCATGTGGAAGTAGAAGTGAAATAGTCGTATGACAGATTGACAACAGTGGCAAAACAAGAAAGGTAATGTGTTAATTCCTAATGTAGAAAAATATCCTGCCTTATTAGGAGGGCCAAGTAAATTGGTTAAATTTCCCTGAACGGAAGTATTTTATTTATAGTGGTTGCTGCTGTTAGTAGCTATGTTTAAACGTAATGCCTCAGAGATGCACAGTGCATTGGAAGGTTTGGAAGTTCGGAGGGAAACGGAGTTTCTTGTAGTTTTAACAAAGTCTGTCTCCACTGAACAAAGACTTCAAGTGGCATTCATCTGAGCTGGTAGATATCTAAGCTTAGAGAAAATAATATTAATGCGATAGTTGCATCTGTTGGAAGATCCTGGAAGTAACATTCTGTTTCTTTTTTTTCCTGTTCCCCACCATTGCCTCTAATGGATACTCAGCTTGTTCATTAGTTTTGTTACTATTATTATCATGATGCCTAAAAGCCTCAGCCATGGAGTAGGATGTCAGCAAGCGCCCTAATGTACAAAGAGAAAAAAGAGATGTTCCCAGTCACAAGGAACTTAAATCCAAATTGAAGACAAGATGGAGGTCAATGCTCATACTTAGAGGTAGAAGCGTGGGGAAAATGAGACAATGTTTGTCAGTGTCATGGTTGATGAACTTCAGCACATCAGCAGCTTAATCATGGTTGAGTGGTTTGGAGACTGTGCAATAGAAGGATTTTCAGCGGAAGGGTTGTGGTGTGGCTTTGCTGACTTTAGCATTGAAATTTACCATTGTGTGAAGTTGCTGCATGAGAGAAGTCATGATTGTCTCCTTTAAAACTGAAAAGGTGGTTAGTGGAGGCTGATACAGGCAAGAAAAGGGAAGGCAGCTCACTTTGCATGAAAACAGATGAGAGAAGTGATGCTGAAGGCAATGAAATAGGAAAATTCAGCAACATTCTGGAAATCTGTTAGTCTGACGAGGCTACGTGGGCTAAAGCTGGGCAAGGGGAGAAGAGAGGAAAGAGCACACTGACATGTCAAGTAATGAGAACCTAGACCTGAATTTTAGCCATGAGCACAAGAAGAAATGTATGAGAAGGCTATTCAAGACATTTCTCTGGATAGGAGAACTTGAAGCAAACCCCAGGTCAAATTCCATGCCTGGACTATGGGTGTTGATGTCAGAAATACGTGGCAACAGTGTCTGCAGTAATCAGGGAAGCTTGAGTTGATGGTTAGACATTCAAAAAGTATTAAATGGATAGACTGTGGTTTTTATGTTGTAGAGTGGGGAAAAAAAAAAAGGAACTTTAATGCTGGAATCGGAGCTGAATTTGTCATGTAGTTGAGAAACAAAGTATCTAAGGAAAGACATGAGGACTAAGGATATACCTCTACTGAATATGCAGAAAACCGGGATAAGGTGTTGATAACATGGGTTGGTCCATGGACAGATTAGCAGTGATGAGAGACATGAGCAGAAACTTAGAAGAGGTTGTTAGTATGGAGGAGATTTCAAGAAAGAAGTACATTTTACAGTGCTGAGAGAACTTGTCTGACCCAGCCCAGAGCACTCACTCATCCTGCTTCAGAGGAGGTTGTTAGAAACTTTGGGTGATAACCAGGTGAATGAAAGGGTCAGAAACCTGAGTCTGAGGGAACTAGCAGGAAGAGCAGTTGATACAGTGTAAACAACCTTTTCAGTGGTGTTGGAGAGTTAAAAGAGACCAGGATGGTTGTCAAGGCCAGGTAGGGTCAGACGTAGGCAGCTTTTAGTATGTGCAAGACAAATGTGAAAGGAAGAAGCCTTCCTGCCTTCTCTGCTTTGATGCAGACAGCGATAGATGGGTTGAAAAACTCTGATGCAGCATGGGTGACAAATGGTCTCTGTTTACAGTGGAAACTTTGGAAAGCTTATGTAGATCCACCCTCTAAAACGGATTTCTCCCGTAGCTATGTCAGTCTCCAGATATTGTACCATTATTACTGAATTTCTGCTGTTGGAAGGCATTCATTGTGGGGTTTTCTGTTTTTCTTTTGTTCAGCACTGGTTCACTGAGCTTCCTCCTGTCTTAACTTTTGAGCTATCAAGATTTGAGTTTAATCAGGCTTTGGGGAGACCAGAGAAGATACACAACAAATTAGAATTTCCTCCAATTTTGTATCTGGACAGGTACAGTATAATATTATCCACAAAGTCCTAGTATGAATATAAATTAAATCTCATGAGTTTGGTGAAGTTGCTGGTGTATCTTATGCTTGCTTAAATCGCAGTAAATTTTCGTTCTAGCTAGACAAGATGAATTTTCATGGTGTTCATCTATTTCAGAAAATACACAGATCACAATTTAAGGCAGACTGTTACTTACTACCAAAACTTGCTTGCATCTCAGTCTTTCATTTGTTGCTAAGTAGTTATGTACACAGGCAAAATACTCTGAAAAAATCACACTGTTTATGGGTCCTTTTCGGAAAGAAGGTGAGAAGTGAGATATTTCGTGATGTTCCAGATAGACTATGTGGCTTGAAGAGGATTCTTGGCGTCAGTGCATGCTGTTTATGTGTAGAGGTGAAATACCATGATGGCTTTCAGTTAGATGCTGAGTGTTACTCGTGAGCCTAAATAATGAAACAGGAGTATTGCTGTGTGGTTGCTACTTACCCCACTTAACTTAGAAGCTTTCCATGGTATGAATAGAGTTTCTGACCCTGGGGAAGAAGCATCTTCTGAAAGTTATGGGAGGGAAGGCTTAATGGGCTTACCGTTTTCTTCTCAGTTCTGTTGTTCTACTTAATATGTCGTAGGTTCTAGAGATGATGAGTTTTTATTAGCAGTAAGTGGTATGTCTGGGTACAGACCTCAGTTTGTGTTGGGATACTGTGAGCTGACACCTCTTTCCAAATGTCATGTTTTACAGGTATATGCACAAAAACAGAGAAATAACAAGAATTAAACGAGATGAAATCAAAAGGCTCAAAGAGTACCTCACCGTTTTACAACAGAGATTAGAACGGTACTATAGATAACTGTGTAAATGCAAATAATATTATGGGCTACATAGAATAACTCCTTTCAACTATACACTTTGTGTGTAGTTATTTGCTTTAGATTTCCCTTCTGTATCTCTTTTCTATTACCATTTTCCTTGGAAATCGTGTATAAGCACAGTAATTCCAGTGTATGAAATATGCTAGGAAAGGCTTGCTTTATGTAATTGCAGTCAACCAGGAAAAAAAAATTCCTTTTCTTTTTTGTTTTTTTCTTCTGTTGTTGTATATATGAGTCATGGCATTAATACGTTTTATGGTTAACAGATATTTAAGCTATGGTTCTGGTCCTAAACGATTCCCCTTGGTAGATGTCCTGCAGTACGCCTTGGAGTTTGCCTCCAGCAAGCCGGTGTGCACATCTCCCGTTGATGACCTGGGTGCTAGTGCCCCTGCCAGCGGCACGCTGCCGGCCCAGACCTCACCCAGGTAAGAGCTGCCTCCCACGCTCCCAGGGTGAGAGGCCAGTCATCCCCTCTGTGCAAACCTGGCCACCGAGAGAGCTGGGAGGAAGTTTACTTTGTTCACCAGATTAATACAACTAGGTGTCTCCTAAGGGCTACAGCGTAAAGTTTCTGCTTTCTTCCTACAAGTATTTTCCAGCATGATAAACTTAAATAAATAAACCAAAATGTTAATCATCTGGATTTGTCTCATGTGCTTAGCAAAATGCCTTTAGGTGGAGAATTACCATTTTCAAACAAAGCATAGTTCCACCTACAATTCCAAACAGACACAACATCTGATGAGGTCACTACTTCTCAAGTGTGTTGTTTTAAGAATCTGAACTTCAGCAGCATGTATGTGCTGCAGACCTTCAAGGTTTCTGGTGTACAATTTATCTGTTAAGTTTTGCCTGGGCGTTAAGCTCCTTTTCGGCTTTGCAGCTTACACTTCTCACTGAGTTTGTCAGGAACCTAACAGTCTGACTTTTTAAACACAGAGTAGCCAAAGTATCAGGAACATAAAAGTCCAATGATGTTGTTTTTTTCATTACTGAAGCTAGTAACTATTATTAACAGTTAGTAGAGTACAACTTAAGATAGGAGGTGGCTAGGTGGACACTAACAGTTTACAACAGAGCATTTTATATTGCGTTTGGAAAGTACGGTTCTAGATTCTGGTCCAGTGAAGATGGTTAACTTTGTAGTTCAGAGAATGAAGGAAATGACTCTAAAAAGCCTTTAAAAGATTTTGGCTATGTTACTGATATAATGCCAGTAGAAATCATGATTATTGGTAAGAGAAGATAAACTTTTAAAAGCTACTATTGCTTGCATGAAATAAAATACCAAAAGTAATATACTTTGTTCAAACTCCTGTATAGGAAGTTTGTTCTGTGGAAATGTAAGTATTGTGACTTTTTTGCCAATCTATAGAAACACAATAGCATGTTATGTGGAGTGATGTTGTCAGCTCTTAATGTTCTCATAACTTTCTAAACTACTGAAGAATCCAGGTTCCTCAGCCTGTATCATGATGCTGTACACAAGTGAAAAGACAGTGGCTTGCTAGAAAGATCTTCAGATTCCTGTTATGCATATGGTTACATATAGGTGGTCTTTTTGATGAGAAGAGAAAAATCTGTAATAAATCTTCATTTCGAGTATTCTGCTGCTCTTGTAGAATTCTCCTAAGCTGGCCACGTTGCTGTTAGAGTTAGAAGACTTGCCTGGAACAAGTTTAGATGGTTTGGTGCTGAAATCTTCATTTCGAGTATTCTGCTGCTCTTGCAGAATTCTCCTAAGCTGGCCACGTTGCTGTTTGAGTTAGAAGACTTGCCTTGAACAAGTTTAGATGGTTTGGTGCTAAATTTCCAGTTTGCTGTAAATACATCAGAGGTCCCTTCATTGTTGCTGTTGAGTTAACGTTAAGTTGTAGGCAGGTGACTGGAAAAAGAAAGTCTGCTAGGCGTAAGACACGCGAAGAAATTATTAAACAGAGAACTCGTGTTTATTGGATTTTATGGTCAGTGGGCCGTGATTGAACAAGTTTAGATGGTTTGGTGCTAAATTTCCAGTTTGCTGTAAATACATCAGAGGTCCCTTCATTGTTGCTGTTGAGTTAACGTTAAGTTGTAGGCAGGTGACTGGAAAAAGAAAGTCTGCTAGGCGTAAGACACGCGAAGAAATTATTAAACAGAGAACTCGTGTTTATTGGATTTTATGGTCAGTGGGCCGTGAGACAG